GCTCTTCGAGCGCCGCATTGCTCGTTGCTGGCTTCTGTTTGAGAGTCAAAACAAGTGTGTCTCAACTCTCGTCTCTTTCACGTGCTCTCGAGATCACTCACTTTCACCTTTGTCTCGTTCTCCTGCTTGGAGCTCTCATCGGCAATCTGAGGTGGTGAGAAAGGCCTGTGTAAGTCTAAACAGATGCACATCAAATTGTTGATTGCACTCACCGTCATCTCCTTGGGCTTGTTGGAGCTCTGATCAGCAATCTGAGGTGGTGAGGACAGGCCGTGTGAGCAAACAGTGGGGATCGTGAGATCAAATCTGGCAGCTTAGAAACAACCGAGAAGCGCGGCACAGATCTAGGCCAATTGCGTTGATCTTGCAAACTCACCTCTTTGATGAGGTCAATCTGATGACCTTTTCCTTTCTTAGCAAGCTTAGGAATCTTGGTTTTGGCCATGTTGGCCGATCCTCTGTGATTCTCAACGCGGCTTGCATCTGAGGTGAAGCTTACTGGCATTGAGGTATGCGAGAAGATGGATCCAAATTGGATCATTCCTCCGTTTACGGAGAGGAGGCTGCTGTCGCCCGAAGCCTCACCCTCGATCTTGGAGCTCTCGAAAGACAGGCTGCTGTTGTCAGGAGCACGATATTTATACTTGGGACTGCAAGGTTTGCGAAGGCCCTGCATTTGATGGAGTTCTACAATCAGCATTTGGAGATCATCCAACAAGCTTGAAATGTGTGGATGCTTACCTTCTTCCAATTCTGATGGTGCACCGTCTTGGTGGACCAACAAAAGTTGGCGCTGGGGACATTGTTGTCCTTAGCAACCTTCTTGTTGCGTTTGGCAATGGTGTTGCGCTCAGCAACAGTGTTGCTAATGTCATAGAGCAGTTCTCAGCGTTGAGCTGGTTGAATTGTTCCTTGATGAGTCGATCAAGACGTGTCTTCAAGGATTCAAGCAGGGTATTGGTGTGGCGCTTGTTGAGTGCATGAGCGGTGCTCTGGTTCTAATTGAGAGCGACAATGAGATCAATGCGTGCAACCAGCGCAACACCATTGCCAATGTCATAGAGCAGTTCTCAGCGTTGAGCTGGTCGAATTGTTCCTTGATGAGTCGATCAAGACGTGTCTTCAAGGATTCAAGCAGGGTATTGGTGTGGCGCATCTATAGTAGATGGCGCGAGCTGGAATGCCTGCGTAGATAGCAACGTGATCAGCCTTAGGGCTTACAAGGCAGAGGCTCATGTTGCTCACTTGTTCTGCATCCAAAGGTGTATATCCTGGGAGCATCGGACTCTCTTGAGCTCCCTCAGAATCTTGATGCCCTGACTGGCGTTCAGAGTCTTCTTCTTCTTGCGATTCTCCTGCAATGGACACGTCGGCGTCCTCGTCTGACAGCTCGCGAGCCTCAGCCTGGCCGGCCTGATCTGGTTCCACCATGTTGTTCTCTTGACCGACAGGCTCGTTGGAGCTCATCGTGTCTAGGAAGAATTAGAATCGACTGGTACAGCAGAGAAGGGGGTCTTGCATTGGACGAGAGGACAACTGATTGTGTGTGATTACCCAGACTCGCGCAGCAGTTGGAGATGGGCCGTAATACCTTCAGACTAGTGGCGTCGAGTTATGGGTTGTTGGTACAAAGCTTGAATCACAAGTCGCGATGGGGTTCATAAGTACAACTCGAGCTGACTGCTGCATGGCGCGGTGGGATGTGACTGTCCCTTGCGGAGCTGGTGGACAACGCTTGCCAACTTGGACGCTCTTCACTGACAGGCTTGTTGGAGCTCATTGTGTCTAGGAAGAATTAGAATCGACTGGTACAGCAGAGAAGGGGGTCTTGCATTGGACGAGAGGACAGCTGATTGTGTGTGATTACCCAGACTTGCGCAGCAGTTGGAGATGGGTCGTAATACCTTCAGACTAGTGGCGTTGAGTTATGGGTTGTCGGTACAAAGCTTGAATCACGAGTCGCAATGGGGTTTATAAGTACGACTCGAGCTGACGAAAGATCGGAGTGCGTGGGTCAAGAGAGGCGAGTCGTGAGTGTGAGTTGCTGAGTAGTCGTGAGTCTTTGATTGCGTGGCCCACCAGACGGACCGTGCGCGCATGCAGGCTGTGAGC